ACACAACCCAGACAGACCTTGGAATCTATACATGTACACAAAGATAAAGAGTAGAGAAAAGAATGAGAGAGAGAGAGAGAGAAAGAGAGTAAAGTAGAAGAGATAGGAATGGAGGGAGAAAATCACTTACATATCCAATCCCAAGCTTTTGTACATGTTCCTGCATTCTTATCTCTTGATAGTCATGGTAGCTTGAAGACTCTGTAATAAACGTGACTAAGGAATAGACAAATAGAAATCAGTACCCTCTTCAACTGGAGAAAACTTGTAAGAAATACAACCATCAACAGAGCACCTACAAATAAACACATAATATATAAAATTTAATACTCGATAGAAAAGTGCATGTATGCATGGAGAGAGATATACATGTACATATGGTAGAGAGTGGATACAATATTTACCTTGCAAATATTTTAGATAGTTTATCCAGTTTGATCACATTATTAGGTAGACATGTTAACTCATTGTACTGGACCTATAATAACAATAACACACAACATGTAAACATAATTATGAGTCTTTATACAAAAATAAACAACAAACTAAACTATAAACAAATCTACAACATTCAAGGGAGTTGTCTCAAAGCATGCAGTATACCATATTATTACAATTTAATTCATACATACATATATACTAAACATGTATTATAATGATATTAAAATTTTTATATTTTCATTCTCACCTTAAGCGCTGACAATAAATTAAAGTTTTCAATATCTTCGGATATTTCTTTGATTTCGTTAGATGATAGATCCAGTCTAGTCAGTTCCAGATGGTCCCACCATCTCTCATCAACATCAAATGAAGCAGTACTACCATCAGGAGGATCAATATTGAGTCTCCACAGTTTAGGAGGAATAACACTAATGCCCTTGTAATTATACACATTCACCATCTAACGTTCATACAATGCGTCATAAAAATGAAAATCAAAAAATCATTAAAGACATTTTTAGTAAATAACAAAACATGTTACAAGTCTCACACAGCCTCCTACCTGTTTGACAGGTTCAGTGAACCGGTTTTACGAGCTTGTTTCAATAAGGATTCTGGTACAGTCCCCTCCTTACCTACCCCATCACTTTGACTAGGAGAATTGAAGAAGTTGGGATTTGGTTTGAGTCTAGTAGAACCAGCAGGAAATTTTCTACTGGCACCACGACTGGAACTCACTTTATATTAGTTTATAAATTTCACCCGGTTATCCTATTGTTCCTGGATAGTTGTCCGGAGTTAGGTGTAACTGTTCCTGGAAACTATCCATAGGGATAGACACTATGAATATTGAATAATAAGTAGTTTAGCTTAGTTAATGATTAATGAATAAGGGGGAGGGATGTCAAGGAGCTATGGAGGCTCACTCAGGAGCTCGCTCAGGAGGCTGAAAGCCTGAAACATCAAGAAAGGCAGTTCAGTGGATCATGGTTTTTTAAATCACGAAGTGGATGGAGTACTGGTTAGTATCTAGTAGGCTTACATGTATATAAACATAATCCAGTAGTCAATTACTGAATATATATAATCCATTACTATTAGTCGAGCTATTAGTACTTATGGTTGCTGTACAAGTTGCAGCCAGTCTTTAACTGTTCATTTTATATTGTTCCTTAGTCCTTGTCCACGCATATTATGTTTTTACAGTTGAAATAATAATAATAATAATAATAATAATAATAATAATAATAATAATAATTATTATTATTATTGCAGTAAAGCATATTACTGTTACTATTACAATAAGCCATTGTTATTAATAAAAAATAATGTTGTAATTTAAGTGGTTTTAAGGTGTCTGTGCATTGGATTTTTTTGCTGGCATGAAGTTTTTTAGAAAGGCATCAGTCATTGG